AAATTAAAATGAGTTTTTGCTGCTGTCTTCAGGTCGTTTAAGGGCTTCTGTAAGTTAGTGAAGGGAGGGCTGGTGCTCTCAACTGCATGACCAAATAAGTAGCTGCTCAATATTCCCATATGCTTCTGCTTTTAAAACTGTGTCTCCTTTTGTGCACTCAAGTTTGAGGAAAACTTGGAAGGAAAATTGGTTTGATCTGTTTCAGAAAGGAGGCAGAGGGTGGATGGTGATCCTAAATATCTAAACGGAGGGGGACAATCCCATGCCTGGCTGAGTGGATAGTCAGCTGTGCATGGCGAGGAGCTTGGGCCACTGGTCACCATGACACTGTGCTGAGGTCTGCAGCAGTAAAGATGCATGACCAGCCTTGATGAGCAGTGCCTGGTAGTCCTGTATACATGAGAGCACCCATGTCCACCAGGTTGTCCCCTAGCAGGCACATTGATCTGCTTTTAAAACTGCAGGAACTGGCATTATGGCAGAAAGGCAGTGTCCCCTCCCCTCCATCCCTCCTTTCTTTCTCTTCACACACTCTTTAAAAAGAATTTATTGCTGGGAAGAGAGCTTTGGGTCAAGGAAGGTTCAGGGGACGAAAAGGCCTTGGGCAGTGTTATAGCTGCTGCTTTTGCAGCAAGGGGCATGTGAGATGTTTCACCTGCAGTGTTGAACACATTTAGGAAAGAACCTTCTCATAATAAATATTCTTGTTGCAAGATACACAAGTTACAGTTGTGCAGGGTTTTCCTTTCGTTTGAAAGGAATCAAAACCTCTGAGCAAAAGAGCTTGATTGCTCTGAATTTGGATGGTTGCCAGCCTAGAAACAGCAGGATATCCGTTAGGCACATGGACCCAGCACAGTGTTTTAGTAGAAAACAATTTGAAGGGTCATACTATGTGGCCTGTGCATTGATTTGATTTGTTGGTTTCTTTTTTTGAGGGTGGGGGTGTTTATTTCTTTATTATTGCTGTTAGTCCTTAAACTACTTGTAAGTTATGGGCTTATCTTGCTCTAAGATGAGATGGGAGCATCTCCCTGATGAGGAAAGGCTGAGAGAGCTGGGAATGTTCAGCCTGGAGAAGAGAAGGCTGAGGGGAGACCTTATTAATGACTGTAAGTGTCTGAAGGGTGGGTGCAAGGAGGATGGAGCCAGACTCTTGTCTGGTAGTTCCCAGGGACAGGACAAGGGGCGATGAGCACAAGCTGGAACATGGGAAGTGCCATTTAAATATGAGGAAAAACTGCTTTACTGTGAGGGTGACAGAGCCCTGGGACAGGCTGTTCCAGGGAAGTTGTGGAATCCCCTTCTCTGGAGCCATTCCAAACCCACCTGGATGCAGTCCTATGGAATGTGCTCTGGGCCATCCTGCTTTAGCAGAGAGTTGGATAGATAATCCCTAGAGGTCCCTTCCAACCCTGACAGGTCTGTGACTCTGTCTTCTGGTGAGACATTTAGAGGAAGGAGGGTTGGACTAGGTGATCTTCAGAGGTCCCTTCCAGCCCCAACCGCTCTGTGACTCTGAAGGCATAATGTAAAACAAGAACCCAGTGCTAACAGCAGATTTTATCCTAGGACAACAAATGAAAATAGGTTTTCCCCAGTTCTTCCAACATGTCTTCCAACATGGACATGTCTTCCAATGTCCTCCTTGCCTCCCTTCCGGTAAATTTTTTCTCATGTGTGTACCCAAGGTCAGGCCCATTTTCTGTGACTGAAGAACAACACGTCATTGCCCAACACGAAGTCCATTGAAACCGGTAAGATTTTTTGTGTGTATTTCAGTGAGCTTTCGCTCACAAAACACTCAGCTTCTGGGTCAGGATTTCATAGAATGTTGTGAGGTGGGAAGGGACCTTTAAAGGCCATCTAGTTCAGCTCCCCTGCAGTGCACAGGAACCTATTTAATTAGATCGGGTTACTCAGATCCTGGTCAAGCCTAACCTTGAATGTCTCCAGGGATGGGGCCTCCACCACCTCTCTGGGAAACCTTGTTCCAGTGCTTCACCACCCTCATTGTAAATAACTTATTCCTAATGTCTGACCTAAATCTCCCCTTTTCTGGTTTTAATCCATTCCCCTTGTCTTCTCACTACAAGTACTTGTCAAAAGCCCCTCCCCAGCTTTCCTGTAGCCCCTTCAGGCCCTGGAAGGTGTTCTAAGGCCTCTTTGGAGCCTCCTCCAGGCTAAACTATCCCAGCTCTTTCAGCCTGTCCAGCCCTCTAATCATATTTGTGGCCCTTCTCTGGATTGTTGCAACAGGTCCATGTCATTCTTGTGTTGAGGGCTCCAGAGTTGAATGATAAAAACCCCACCCAAATATTTCTTTTTGTTTGTTTCACAGCAGTCTCACAGTTGAGTGCTTCAACCTCTCAGTGTTCTTCCAGACAGGGAGATAGTTATGCTGGTATCTGTGGAGCATCACTGGTGCTTTTCAGACTTGGTTTACAGCTGGTAGCTGCATGCTGTGTTGTATTTTCCGGCAGGAACAGTAATCTGAATAGTTATCAGCTCCTGCCCTTTTTACCCAGCAATGACAGGAAAAAACCAAAACCTGCTAATACCTAGTTAGGTCCTGTATAGGTTTATCAGACAGAGGGAGAATACAGGTGAGCATGTGGGTCCCCACTGATTCCCCACATCAGCCTTCTGGCATGTGGAAATGATACAGCTTGTTAACTGTATCCATCTAAAGTATTGAGAGTAGCTTTGCTTGTGTGAAAGAAGTTGACCTACAATATCTCCTTTCTAACAAATCTTACCTGAAGAAGCTAATTGGGGGGCAAATTTTAGATAACTGCTGAATGCTTGACAAGCAGGAGGTAGTGAAGTCATTAGAAGATAGGATGTTTGGTTCTTAAGTACTGTATGGAGGCTGTTACTCCAAGTCCTTAGTGCTTTAGAGGAAATGGTCACTACTACAGAGGTCATCTGGAAAGCTCTCAAGTGTTCACATTCATGTCCCTTAGTCATACTGCAGATTATCAAGTGATGTGCTGTGCCCTAGTAGTGATGTTAAGAGTTTTTGAAAGGCAACTGTGGTGGTTAAGGAGGTTGGGAATGAGTCTGTTAGATGAGAAGTTATGCTTTTACTCTTGACAGAGTTCCCCAATAGATTCGTGTTCCATCTTTTATGTCTTTCTCTGTCTCCTTTGGAAGAGGCAAATAGTCTATTACATGGGAAGATAAAATGAGATGGCCTCATTTTAAAACAATCTGTTTTAAAAGAATCTATTTTAAAAAGAGAGATAGATTGGCTTTGAGTTTTGTCCTTATGTATAGTTTTGATGAGCGTTTTAGGCTGTTTTCATCTCTTACCCTCTTGGGCTTCAGCAGAGCTATGCCAGGTCAGCAGCTTGTCTCTGGAAGATCTGGATCTGAACATTGCCACAACAATCTGTGAATTGCAGTAGCAAAATCTGTTTTTGGGAAAGCTAGCACAATGTCTGTGTGTGCTGTGTATTCCAGCCAGCACCATGGGTAATTTAATTTAAACCAAGTATGCATATTTAATATTGCAGTTGTATTAAAAAGTGCTGTGTGGGTCTGAGTGCTTGGCATTCATGGTGTGGATCAAGACAGAAATAGTAACAGGGCAGGCTGACATGTTGGCACCATTTTGCAGACCAAAAATATGTAGGTGTATCAAAAGACACAAAGTGGGAGAAGGACCTATACTCTTCAAAACAGTTGTTACACTTGTAAAATAAGATCCCCTTTGTGTCATTTAGTATCCTGTGTGTCCCTCTGTCTATCAGCCGATGAAAATGATGGTTGAGGAACTGATGGGGAAGACATGACTGAGAAAGCAGCAGATGCTCAAGAAGAAGGAATTAAAACTAAAAATTATCCTTTTGTACTTTCAGCATTGCACTGAATACTGTTGTTAGGCTCAGAAACATACTTGGTGGTAGCTTCAAAAGGAAAAAGTCAAGGTGGGTGGCAGAGAGCTGGAGCTGAGCACCTGGTTGCAGGAAGAGTCTTGTTTAGTCCCAACACATCAGCAAAGCTCCTTGCAAGAGAGCTGTGTAATTTGTTAGGGAAACATAGTGACTGCAGTACAAAGAAGCTGGGAAATGGCAAGAAGTGGGGGCTGCCAACAAGGGCAGGGGTTTTGTTTCTTTGTCCTCCCTGTTGTGTTGGCTTGAGTTGCTTGAGCAGCCACAGGGAAAACGGACTGGGAACCAGTGGGGCAAGAGGAGGTGAGTGATCCATGGTAAATGTGCTCATCAAAAAAGTTAAAAAAACCCAACACAACAAAGCAGTTTGTTCACAGTTGGTGTCACTGTTCCTGACACTGGGCCGTGGTGTCACAGATTGGTGAAGAGGAGGTTTCAGAGGTCTCAGAATCTCCTCATGCTAAAATCCAATGACTTCTCTGTTAAAACCTTGTCTTATGTTGGTTTTTTTTCATGCTTGCTGTTAAGGCAAATCTTTCAAAGTTTATGTAAAGGATATTTTCAGAATCTTTACTTCTGGGAATGTTTGGAAAATTGTATTTCATTCAGTAGAATTTTCCAAATAGCTTGAACAGATATGTTTAAAAAAAGCTGAGAACTCAAAATGTGTTCACTTAAATCATTTGCTTGAGTGCAATTTCAAGTAGTAGATGTAGCCAAGACTGCTTCTAGCTTGCGTTAAAATTCCTCCTAATTCTTTGCCTTCTGCAGTTGGTATCTCCCATCTCTGATTGCACAGAGCTTTTCTGGCACACATAGTTCAACTGACCAATAACTGATTGCAGATAAGAAATTGCCCACATGCAAAATGACATCAGATGCACATATATTGTTTGGAACAGAAGGATGATGTATATTTATTCAACAAGTGATTTGTGATTCCTTTTTATTTTTAAAATTGTTGCATAGTTTGCAGAAGTGGAGTACACAGAGCTTACTGGGAACTTCTCTTTTGCTACGTTTGGAAATAGCTCAGCATTGACAAAGCTGGAAACTGTTTTAAATGTGCGCAGTCTAATCCCTGAATATGTTTTTCTGCCTTAGTGGCACAAGTGCATTCTTGCTGCAATTCCACATGTAGAAATTGGCCATCAGACAACATCGTTTTCCAGAGCCCACATGGAGTCAGGAAACCCCTTCTGCAGTAGTGAGATCTCCGAGTTAGCTGCTCCAGCCATGTAGTCCTCCACCTTTTCTTTAGAGATGATTAAACCTTCAGTAGATGATTGTGTGTGGTATTTGAGAAAATGTCACTGGTGGGGAAGACTGGGCTCTTCCCTTTGAAACTGGGACACTTGAGCAGTTTAGTGTACCAAGGAGATACATAGGGATTATATGTTTGCAGTAGAGTAGAAATAGGAGAAGAAATATCTGCATCCACATACTATGTCTGCGTGTTTTTTCTTCCCAAATGTCCTTAAAAATTGGAACAATAGATTCTCCTCTTTTGCAGTAGTGTTTCACAGATGATGTGTAGTTTAAAGGATCTGGTTTTCCGTGAAGTCATCTTGTTGTGCATGTGACATGGCTTTACTGTCCTTTTGATGTGGGATTGGTGAAACTGGGAGCATGTATATGGGGTTGAGGGAGAACAGGGGGATCCAGCCTGGTGCTTTGCAAATTTCTGAGGCCTTTCCTTTAAATAAATTTTTGTGATGGCTTTAAATGCATCTATGTGGTTTGCCAGGTAAGCAGCTTTCCAAATATTCTTTTAAAGTAGAGAGTAAGTTTTCAAGCCTGTTATTAAAGTAGGCAAAGTTCAACCTCTCAGTGGCAACACCTTCCAAATAGTGGATTCTTTTTTACTCTCAGGCAGAGAGTTGGGGCAGAAGTCTGGAGAATGAGAGTGGTAGTTTTCACCAGGATTGTTGCAACTGGATTTGCCAGCTTATGCACTGATCACTCAATGTTGCCATCTTAATTTGTGTTTCACAGTTAAACGGATGGATAGTTTTCCCCTTCCCACCCTTCTTGCTGGATGATAATGAGGAGCAGAAACCCTTGAGAAGGATGTGTGCTGCACCTTCTGTGTTACATTGTTGGGCAGTGCAGCAAATACTTGACATAACTGATTTGTCTGCTAGAACCACCCTTCAGATTTCAGAATTCCTTTTGTGCTGGACCTGTACCATTGTCTCAAAATCACAGTTTCTGCACCACGTAGATACTTTTTGATAACAGAAGTATAAAATGTTAACCTTTCTTTCTCTCTTTCCTAAAGCTTGTACAATGAGGACAGAAACTTGCTGCGTATTCGGGAGAAGGAGAGGCGGAATCAGGAAGCTCTGCAGGAGAAAGACAGGTTCCTTGAGAAGACTCCCCTCTTTGCAGAACCCTACAAGGTAATGGTAGGGGGGCACATGGTGGAGGCAGAGGAGTAAAGCAGGTTGGGGTGGGAGAGGAGAGCTGTGGCCTCTGCAGACTGTGCAGTAGACTCGAGCATGAAATGTGCAAACACAGTATCTTCCCATTTGCTCATCTTAAATTCATCTGAGGATGTGCTTAAAGCTCTGTAGATGGTGCAAGCACAGTAGGGTCTTTGGATGGAGCAGATTCATTTGCAGGCTTCCTGCAGTCTGGGACTTTGAAGGAGGGTGCTTGAGAGCAGCTTGGCTGCCTTGCTTGCCTGTCTGCAGCTGTGGTTGGAACAAACTGGTAGGATGTTAGTGATCCTGAAGACTGCAGGTACACCTGCCATCTTGGCTCAGAGAAGCTGACTAGAGGAGTCTCACTTGCTTAGGAGAGACTGCATGCAGGATCAAAATGAGCTTTCATAACTTCACTCATGGTGATGAATGGTGATTAAAATAAGATCCTGAAGAATGTCTCCTCTTCAGTTTAGTCTCTTGGAGTGGGGGTCCATGCTTTTTAAATTTCCCCCTCTATTCTTCTGTTGCAGACTAATAAAGAAGATGAGTTGTCAAGCCGAATTCAGAACATGCTGGGCAATTATGAGGAGGTCAAGGAGTTCATCAGCAACAAATCCCATCAGAATCTCATAGGGATTCCAAAAAATGATGCTCCTCTGATCCCACAAGGAATGCCCGATTACCCATTCTTCCCTGAAAAGACCAGCCATATGTTACCTTCTTCATTCCACCGCACAACCTGCCATCCACCCATGGGACCTACAGTTGTAGCTCCTCCCCCTCCAAGCCACTCCATTCACTACCAAAAGGCACAAACAAGAACAGAACCAGCTTCAGGTTTGCATGCCAGGAGTCACAGCTTAGCCAATGGTCGGAGTCAAGGTCAAGAACACAATCGTGGTGGCCAGGAGAGTCACACAGGTTTTCATCAGAGGAGAAATGACAGGCATGTGATTGGTGAAGGTCGTGCTAATGAACTGCAGGCCTCCCTTTTGGCTCTTTCTCCATTGCTGTCATCTTTGTCTTCTCCAGTGGCACCTCTGTCACCTCTACATTCCAGCCAGCGTATCAATTCCAGGTCACAAAACAGCAGGAAAAGTCATGGGCCGCCCTACAGTCAGACAAAATCATCCCAGGACCTCGTGACAGGATCACCAGAGAAGGAAGGTCGGGACAGCTCAGCTCTTAACCTGACCAGCACTACTCAGCCTTCCTCTCAGACTTTTCCCCCACCTTTGCCATCAAAAACCAGTGCAATGCAGCAGAAACCTACTGCCTATGTCAGACCAATGGATGGCCAGGATCAGGCACCAGTTGAATCCCCAGAGCTCAAACCTGTCCTGGAGGAATACCGTGGAGAACCCTATGAAAAAATCTCTGATTTGAAGGCAAATGCCAAAGCCAAACTCTCCAAATTGGAAATCCCTTCGGAGCCCCTAGAGGTGAGTGCAATTGCTGGGTGCTGTGTTGCTGGCAGGGTAAGTTGAGCTGTGGGAGAAGAGGTCATGGGAGAGCAGAGGCTACCAGAAGCAGTGATGGCTGTGCACACCTTCTGTTTAGATGGTGGCTTTTGCTGACCTCTGGGAAATAGCTGTTTGCATGGTAAAAATGGAATGCTTGCCACAATTCCATGTTTTTCTCAGTAAGACTCCAGCAAGTTTTATGGTTTAGAGAGGCTGCTTCTGTTGCTATGATTTTTGGTTTGCCTCTAAAGGATTGAAAAGGAGAAGGGAGAAATGTTATGCTGTGAAGGTCAAGTGGTTAGTATGTGCTGAGTGTCAGTACTGGCATTGAAATGAGTGCTGGTGGGTAGAGGCCCCAGATCCTTACTGAACATTGGGGCAGTGAATTCTGTAGTCACCAGGGTAGTTGAAGATTTTTGGGGCTTTGTGATAAATGACAGTGAACACTACAGGGTTCTCCCAAGTCAGTTTGTAAGTGCTCACTGTAGACCCTCAGGAAAGTATTGATGGAAATGAAAAACATCCTGTAGATGTCTTCCAGATGGATTTCAGCTGGCTTCCTCGGGAAGCATGACACCATTCTGTTTCCTACTGCACCAAATGCCTTGTGAGCAAGTTCTGAAGGATTAAGTGTAGTGGTGGAATTCTCAGTGATCGGCAAGAAGTTCTGTACAATTTTGCATTTGAGCAAAGATGATCCTCTTCCTTGTCCCAGCAGTGAGCAAAACAAGCAGAACTCTGCTATCTGTGTGTTCTCAGCAGCAGAGGACAGCCTGGGCAGCCAGCTCAAGCATACCTTTGTTCTAGTCACTACACTTACCCTTTCTCTGCCAAAGACTGAGGGATGTTGCAAAAGACATGGGATGGGAAGTTGCAGTTGTGGCAGGTGGGCCAAAGACCAAAATGTGTTGCATGCCAACCTTTGGTTATTCCTGCTCATCTGAGAAAAGCTTCTTTCTGATATGTATTATTTTTCTTGAGAGTGAAACACTAGCTTTTTCATTTACCCCCCATTTAAAAATGAATACTGACTTGGGGCTTAGTTTTCAGTCTTCAGTTAGAATCTGCAGTTTCAATCTGCAGTGAGACTTCTGTCTTGAGGTCCTCTTTTGTCATTCATTCTGCTCCTTTGGTCATTTTCATGGATTTGCCCTTTTCCAGGCAGAGACATCTCAATGCAGTAAGGCTGAGTGCAGGGTATTGCAGATTAGTAGGTGCAATTCAGAACTTAATGCTGTTGCTCTTGTGCTACTTAAGTAGCCCTCTAGCCAGAGGGAAGAAATCTTCTGAGGATACAGAAATTTTTTTGTATAGTTCTCCCTGCACCTTGATTTGTTCAGAGATAATATGTAGTATGTGGTAGAGACTGACACAGTTGAGCTGGGTTAGATTAGTCAGTTCCATCTTTCACTGAAGAGAACAAGGAAAAGGCAGAGTGGTTGAGAAGTCTTTTCTGGAGATCTCAGAAATTCTCCCTCATCTATGCCTGAGCCCTGCTGTGAAGTCAGTCGGAGGCAGAAGCCTTAGATTCCTCAGATGTGTGCTGAGGTTAAAGCAGCTTGAAATCTGCACTGGTAAAGCAGTGGGAGAGCAGTATATATAGAATCACTGACTGTTTAGAGTTGGAAGGGACCTTAAAGATCATCTAGTTCCAACCCCCCTGTGTGGGCAGGGACACCTCCCACCAGACCAGGTTGCACCAAGCCCCATCCATCCTGCCCTTCAACACTGCCAGGGATGGGGCAGCCACAGCTTCCCTGGGCAACCTGGGCCAGGCTCTCACCACCCTCACACTCAACAATTTCCTCCTCATGTCTAACCAAGATCTCCCTCTTCCAGTTTTAATCCATTCCCCCTTCTCCTCTCACTACAAGCCCTTGTCCAAAGTCCCTCCCCAGCTTTCCTGGAGCCCCTTCAGGCACTGGAAGGTGCTCTAAGGTCTCCCTGGAGCCTTCTCTTCTCCAGGCTGAACAAACCGAATTCTCTCAGCCTGTAAATTGCCTACAGTTGTTTTCAGCTCATCAGCACCCTTTTCCATGACAAGCAAAATGCCCCCCTACTCTTCCTTTTTACTACAAAGAAAAACACCATGTGAAAATTCTCTCCATAGCTGTCCTCACCCAGCTGCCTTAGGTCAGTTGTGTATTGGTCAGCAAGTGCCTACTCCTCTCCTTTGTGCCCTTGGAAGCCCATTGCTTCAGCTTTGCTAAGGGACCAGCAGCACACAGACTCTGCCTACCTTGTGGCTCAGCCTCCTGTGAGTTCAAAGCAACTTGGTCCCCAGGTATGTTTGGCAGTTTTACCACTCTCATCCTTCAGCACTGTGAATATTGCTGTGCCCTTTGGGATGTGGGATCCCACAGTGCTGACATTGTTAAGAAGTTGTGAAAATACTTTCATGCTGAGAGACATATTTGCTACAAAGTAGGTTTGGCATTGCACATCATACCTCGGAATAGGAAGTGCACTGTGATCTGCATTTTATTATTTGCTTGACCAGATAATTTTATTCCTAGGGGAGAAGTAAGGTAGTGCAGAACTTTTCCTTTGAGGTGGCATACTTGTTTTTCAGAAATGAGACTTCCTTGTTCTCTCTTAACTCCCCTGATCCATTTCTGTGTTCATGTTCTCTCTTTTCCAATCCCCATGCTTTTTACATCATTTTGTTTATCTCTCGTGTAATAGGAGTTTACATAGGGCAGTGTTATGCTGTGTACTGAATTAAACTTCCTTCTCACTTTCCACGTAGCACAGGACTCTGAATCCAAATGTCTGTAAAAATCCTGAAGCTGCAAGAGCATGAGCAGTGTTCCTCATGCTGGGACTGGAGTGCTGTTAGATCTCTGCAGAGTAAGAACATAACAAAACAGGGAATTGAAGACACATGAAAGAAATGGTTTTGCACAAAACAAAACCCTGCTTTTAGTTATATGCTTAGTCCGTTCTGAAGCTGATAGATCAAACCTTTTGTGAATATCACAGAATCTCACAATGGAGTGGGGTTGGAAGAGACCTCTGGAGATCATCTGGTCCAGCCCCTCTGATAGAGCAGGATCCCCTCAAGCAGATCACACAGGAACATGTCCAGGTGGGTTTGGAATGTCTCCAGGGATGGAGACTCCATAACCTCCTGGGCAGCTTCTTCCAGTGCTCTCGTACCCTCAGAGTAAACAAGTATTTTCTCATATTCAGGTTAACCTCCTATGTTCCAGTTTGTGACCATTGCCCCTTGTCCTGTCACTGGACACTACTGGGAAGAGTCTGGCCCCACCCTCCTGATACCCCCTGTAGATATTTATAAGCATTGATGATCTCCCCTCTCAGCCTCCTTTTCTCCAAACTGAACAGCCATAGCCTGTTTATGTTGAATATGTTGAATGATTCTTATTTGAGGTAGGTATCTATAGGCTGTGATCTGTGTTTTCTGTGCATGGACATTTTGGATAAGGGCTCTGTAATGTGTAGTGAAAAATCCATTACTTCATTTTCTGCTTGCTCCAGGCTTGTCATGATTATATCTCCTTACTTCAGTTTCAGTGGTTAGCTTATATTTGATGATACAGTCTTTCAGTGCTGAAGTATGGAGAGTGAAGGGGAAGAAACAGTGTGATTGCACACCTGCATTTATTCCCTGTGTGCTGGATGTCCAGGTTGAGAGAGGTGTCTGGGGAACAGGGCTGAGCTAGTTTGTTTTTAGGGAACGTCCAGTAAGGTATGTTAGCATGCAGGTGAAAGATTCACCCAAATAAAGGATCTTTGGAAGGCTAATCAGGGGGTTCTTTGGCCTAAAAGTTGGCCCTCCCTTTTCTTTTTGGTGAAACAGGAGCTGTGGGGGAGGCTCCTGCCCTCCCATGACCCTGACAGTGAATAGGTCTAGGCTGGCAGAAAGTCTCCTGTTCTTCCGTCTTCTTCCCAGTAACTGGGAGGATGGTTTTACAAATTTTAAGCTGTTGGGCTCTGGTTATACTGGAACAGCTACATGCGAAATCCAGTTTATCATGTGATCTCCCTAGACATCATTTAGGAAAGCCATTTCTTCTGCCCCATGTTTTTTGGCTAATTGAATTTCTAAGGCATGTGTCACCTGCAGCTGCGAATTCATTGACAGCTTCTGTTCATGGCAACACTGACAAGTTAAGCCTTCCAGTCTGAATAGACAAGCAGATTCACTCTAGTGTGAATTAATCCACAGTGGATAACTGTGCAGTGACTCCCTTTGCATTCACATAAAGAAACTGAACAGCTCTTTCCCTCTCTTCCCTCCCCCAAGTCCTTTACTTTCAAATGTGATTTCTG